ACATGTCAGTATGGCATTCTCGTGTGAAGATTCGAATCCGCTTTGTGAACATACATCGTAGACATCATTTACTATATAAGTGATTAGCAAGATTCATGGACTAAGCAAAACGGGATTGACCTACCCAAATCATCCATCCGATGATGATCTTGGAACTGGACATAGTGAAGAACAGGAGACCTCAAGCCATCTGGGAAAATGCTGTTGATCTCCTTGGTGGCTTCCGTCTGCACGGATGTTACCTCCTCATCGGCCTTGACGAGTATTGACGTAGAGCCTACCTCGCTCTCCTGGGCCTCGAAATACGTGTAGCCTGAATGGCCAGTGGCCTGGCATGTGAAGCTCCGTTGCTGATAAAAGTCATATCTATTCTTCATCAGATATGTCCTCATGCCTGACGTCATTCGATATGTTTTCTTACCGCTCAAGGAACCGCTCATAGTCTGTGAAGACCTCTCCAGTCTGTTCGATATGCCACACCTATCCAGCAACTTTAGCAAATACGTTCTGTGGTTCGGCACAGTATGTGGCGTACCTCAGTGCTGTCGTCGAGGTTCTTGGGTAGGGATTCGTGTTTGACAGGCTTGCGCTTGTAGAGAACCTGGAGCCTTCTTAGTATATGTTCGTGTATAGACCGCGACCCGACACATACCATTTTGGCTCGTACCCTAGCTCATGTAGCCTTCTTGGTGTTTGCTGTACCGCGTCGCAAACTTCGGAAGTGTCGCGACGATCCAAACGCGCCGAATACCTTCTCTAGAGGTACTTTGAGAGAAGAGACGGGGGCAATGGCCCCTCCGTAGGCGTCAGGGCGAAGACCTGTCTTTACGCGCCAGACAAAGGTCTCTCGAAATTGTCGTCGCAGTCTTCGGTGGTCCGAGTAGCGTTCCGAGACGCGTCTGTCGGTTCCGAAAGCGCGTCTAAGCGACTTGCAAGTAAGTTCGTGGATGTCGAGGGCGTGATAGTTGCGAAGGTGGAAGGTAGGGTGGAGAGAATTAGTCGAAGAGTAGTCAATGGGGGAGAAAAGCGAGCGGAGGGTAGTAGAAGATGCCCGTAGTCCCTTGGCACTAGATACCATACTTGATCCGGCAAGGACTGCGTTCGCACCCTACCACCTACGCATCAAAGCTACGCACCCCACTACCATCAAAATATCAACGTGTTTGGACTCTCTGGAACCCTCAAAACGAGTTCTTTCAGACTGCGATACGTATGCATCGTTTTGTTTTGCTGTGATGACCCTTTTGTTTTATCAAGATCAAGTGAAGGTTGGCCATGAGAAGCCCATGCCTTGAGCCACCCCGAGCAAACCCTTGGGGCAGCCTGACCCACTTGCTCAGACACAGCAAGTCACCAACTTTACCCCCACCTCGAGCCGCACCCCAGAGGCCGTGATTTCAGGTACAGATTCAGGCATCAGTCACGATATCTTTGCAATATCAAGTCTGCTCCGAGGTATTTGTTTGGCCTCTACTTCTGACTGATGTTGTCCTGTCTCTCCTTTGCTAAATAGCAGTCAAGCATACGATCCGACTTGATTCTCCGAAGTATCCGCTATGCTCCTGAGCGTGATCTGGCAATCACAATTCAGTTACTTTCCACATACCATCATCCAATTCTGTGCCATTGCACATGAGACGAAAGCTAAGTCAACGACAAGATAACATCGCAGGCATGATAGCCTTTAGTGAGAGGTCGTTGACCTGAAATAATAGGAGTTGGAAGAGCTGTGTTGGAGGTATAGTTGAGATGAGTATATCTACAAGTCGAAGTACACTACCAAAAAGCCGACCCAGCTGCCTACCACACCAACTGCTGAGTACGAACTCGTAAACATGAGCGGCAGGAACTCGTATCGAGAGCCAAACACTATCCCGTGAACCAAGGAGCAGTATGCAATCAGTGGAATTGAAAGAGCGATATAGAGGAGAGAGAAGCGATCAAGCAAGAAGATTCTGGGTTTGGGTGAACTGTGGCATGTCAGTGTATGATCGAACAAGACTAGACGGCACCTACGCAGGAGCTAGCCTATCGAACGCGATAAGGAAGAGTACAAGCCAGAAGATAGTGTAGACTGTCTTCACAGGAAACTCAGCTGCCGTGTACAGTAGAGGAAAAAGCGATACGTGACCGGCGACAGCTAGGGGCCGGAAAGCGCCGAAGTATCTGCGATCCTGGAGTGCTATCAGACTGAATGGGATTATGACGAGCAGGATCGCCTTCTCATGAACATGCCAGCCGAACAAGAAAGATGCATAGCCGCAAAGTGTCACAGCACCTATAAAGGCCTCCCAGGTGGGTTTGTATAGGAGGCGGAGGAGAACAGGCTGAGGGAGGTTAGTGCAATCAATCTCCTGCTCCGCAAGTATACGTACTATCTGTGTGCCAAGTGTAAGAAGAAAGCAGATCAAAGGGCTAATATCTGGTAGCACCGCGAAGGACGTGTCCCCAACAAGACCTCGAGTGACACTGTTCACTGCCTCTTGATCAACGCGTAACCCAAGGCGCGGGGCAACTGCATGTGTTAGCTCGATACACCAAGATGGTGGAGTTTTGCATACGGTAAATCAAAACTCGATCAGAGAACGAATACATCGCCCAGACATTTGGCGCCCAGTACGCATGACATAGACCCCGCGAGAATGGGAACAAGCGACTGAACACTTGCGGTATTTGCTCCCATATCGCGAATGGACCGAACGCGGCTGCGAAGACAGCAACGATACCTACTCCCAACTTGACGCAGTTGAAGAACCGAATAGTAAAGTATGGGAAGGACGACCGCTGCCCTAAGCAGTAAGCGCGCAAAAGGTAAACGAAGTAAGCAGGTGCGAGGTACAAGTATATGTGCTTGAGGCACAGCAAAGCTGCAAAGAGCAGACCAGACAATAAGAGTGTCGAGTTGTTCCGGGCCAGGACCATAGACAGTATAAGAATGCCGTAGAGGAAGCCATTGTACTGAAAGTGGATGTGGTCGATGATTAGGAGTCCTGGAGACAGCAAGACGGAGAGTGCAGCGGCATGGGCCGTCACCTTGGACTTTGATGTCTTCACGTAGCTGGTAAGCATTTAGCAATGGCAATATCATGCAGGGTGGCATATAAGTACAGATGCAAAGCGTATACCAAGACAAGCTCGGTAACGATGACTGTAGTACGCTGAAAGTACATAGTCTGCCAGCTGTCATATCCCAGATCTTTGACGTTTAGTAGACCCGGATCGACATACGCAGCGGCTTGAGACATAAGCCACTCAAAGTAGGCGAAAAAGGGCGGATAGTCTAGAGTCCATTCTGAGGTTCTCTGTGGACAGGGTTAGACTGAACTACTTGACTGGTGTTGATGGCCTGGGTGTCTGACTTCATAGTACCACTGTTTAATGGGCAGGGAATGCGTTAGAGCGAGCCAGTTGCGATGAACTTCGAAGTCGGTCGACTTGCTGCCGGATATGGTCAGCATGGACGAAGGATCAAACATGGACTTTATGCAAGTAAACGTACTAAGCAGGAAATAGCAGCACCTTGAGCGCTGTAGCCACAACAGCGCACTGCGCAATGGACGGATACAGTTCTGCCATGGGAGAATTGACAGCGGGTGGATGCACGATCGTCGGAAAGCACAGATTGACCAGTCGCTCGTAGTTCGGCGTCACGTGCTCGCTTAGAATCGATCCCTGTACCCAGGTCGCTAAAGCGTCTGCGTATGGCATGTACAGAACGCGTCAAACGGACGCGCAAACGTCATTCCAGAAGTCAGCAAACTCAGGGGTTGGCAGGCATGACACACGTGGAGGTTTCGCATAATCACGTTTGACATTTGATACCCATAATGGGGAGGGCTCCATGTTTGTTGCACACACGGCGACGGTGCACGGTAGTATACCGCCGGAAGCAGACCATGTGGAAACGTTATGTATCTATCGATTGCTGAGACGAGGCGATGGGCAGGCTGGCACTAAGGGCCATCCTTACGTCTGGAACTGGAGCCGCCGCAATACGATCTGGACCCTTTCGTGTTCGCCCGACAAAGGAAAAAGGGACCCGTGTTAAGAGCAGCACTATCAGGCGGCTCATCTAGTCAGGGACGGAGTGTGCATATCTGCAATTACCCGTCGTCGGCATCCGCTGGATGGCTCCGAGCTGCACCGCCGGTAGCACAACACCCTCTTCGCCAGGCACTGGGGCGCGTCGCTGCACGAAATACCACGCCGCCTCGCACAGGCATCTACGGGTCCAGAGAACTGCAGGGCAGCGGTTGGTGTCGACGGTGGTTTGCACGATTCAGACGTGGTCTGCGCGTTTAAAATAAGCGGTGCGCTAGCTGTCCGCTTTGGGCTGCCTCATTTGCGCCTGCCTCCTAATGTGCCCTGCTAGTTAGCATTTCTCACCGACCTCTTTCTTCGTTCCTCCACTCCGACTTCAGGTCGCATCCCTCTTCTTCGATCCCCTTCGTTCATTACCTCCTCTTCTCCCCGCATCGAGGCTCCCGGCAAAGCTTGCTTCTTTGCACTTCATTCTTATTGTTCGCTCTTTTAGTGCACGCATCCTCAAACAAGCCACGCGAGTTTGTTCTTCGGCAACTCTGGCACACTGCATTTAATTGCGTCCCCGCTGCGTTCACTATTCAAGCCCGCGACAGTACCCTTTTGGACGTCTGTACCTGGATCATTTGGGCTGCAATTGCCTGTGTTGGGAGCCTGTCTTGTATTGTTAGACCTGCAAACAACCCGTTGCCATTGTGTTTTTGCATGTACGTCTCCGCAACCATGTCTTTTGCACTGTGAGATGGGACTAACACTTCCAGACCGCTCTACATCTTGTAATACAGCAGCATCTTCGCAAGCCTAGCGACCACCCTGCAACCGGTTGCAACTTCACCTTCTGCAGTACATATTTCGCCGTCCGGTCCAACGAGTCCCGGACGCAATAATACACCTTCACCACGGCGGTTCTATCTCACAGCGCGCGGGACAGCTTCAGTCTGCCCCCGCATCTTCTCGGTATGCAGCAACACGAGGGCGCCCCCAACGCTCCTAGCGGGCCCCGTCTCCAGTCGAGCTTCCACAGGCAGATGAACGGCGGTGGCCACCACGGCTTTTCCCACGGCGCCTTTGCGACCAACCAGCCCGGCTATGGCGACCGACACCCGGAGAGGGCAAACAACATGTCCATCAACACTGGAAGACTCAACCCGGGCAACCAGAACGGCAACGACTTGCAAACCCCAGGCACCGGCTTCGACATGAACTTCACTCCTCTGCTTCCGTCCCAGCTGCTTCTTGGTAGCCCCTTCCAGCCAGGCTCGCCCTCCGCTTTCGCTTCCCCGCAGTTCCAGAACTTTGCACAGTTCGCCGGTCAGAACCAATCGCAGCAGCAGAACCACCAGTCCAACCATGTTGGCAGCCCCTTGCAACAGCCTCTCTCACCGCAGCTTTACCAGAACATGGTGTCTCCCACCAGCGGTTTCTTCGGTGGTCCGCAGTCGCCTACCGGAGGTTTCCCTGGTTACGGCGCGCAGGGTCTTGGTGGGCTCGGCTCCTCCATGCCGATCGCGCCTGGTCTCGTCTCCGGAACTAGCAGGACCGTATACTTGGGCAACATTCCTCCTGAGACTTCCGCAGAGGAGATCCTTGGCCACGTACGCAGTGGCCAAATCGAGTCCGTCAGGCTTCTGCCAGACAAGAACTGCGCCTTCATCTCCTTCCTCGACAGCAGCTCCGCCACCCACTTCCACTCTGACGCAATCCTCAAAAAGCTATCAATCAGAGGCCAGGATATTAAGATTGGATGGGGAAAACCGTCGCAGGTTCCCACATCTGTGGCCTTGGCAGTACAGCAGTCGGGCGCTTCCCGCAACGTATACCTGGGCAACTTGTCCGAGGATGTTTCAGAGGATGAACTTCGTGAAGACCTCAGCAAATTTGGCCCCATCGACACTGTCAAGATCGTCCGGGAGAAGGCTATCGGTTTCGTTCACTTTTTGTCAATTGGCAATGCCATCAAGGCTGTTTCTCAGCTTCCCCAAGAGCCCAAGTGGCAGGCTCCCAGGCGCGTCTACTATGGCAAGGACCGATGCGCATACGTTTCCAAGACCCAGCAACAGAACGCTGCGCAATACCTTGGCATCGCTCCCGGATACGCCCATGTTCTGAACGGTGCCGACCGCGATATGATCTCCAATGCGCTTGCTCAGCAATCCGTAGCTGCTGCCGCTGTCGCGACGTCTGCTGGAGGAGTCAACAACTTGGGTAACCGAACAGTGTACCTTGGGAACATCCACCCGGAGACTACCATCGAAGAGATCTGCAACGTTGTTCGTGGTGGTCTCCTTCATCACATTAGGTACATCCCGGACAAGCATATCTGCTTCGTTACTTTCATCGACCCAACATCGGCCGCATCGTTTTATGCCCTCAGCAACCTGCAGGGACTGATGATCCATAACCGTCGCTTGAAGATTGGTTGGGGTAAACACTCTGGTGCTCTCCCCCCGGCGATTGCCCTTGCTGTCAGTGGTGGTGCTTCCCGTAATGTATACATTGGCAACCTGGATGAGTCCTGGACAGAGGACCGTCTGAGGCAGGATTTCTCCGAGTATGGCGAAATTGAGCTGGTCAACACTCTGCGTGAGAAGAGCTGTGCATTTGTCAACTTCACCAACATTGCCAATGCTATCAAGGCAATCGAAGCGATCCGTGGTCGTGATGAATACAAGCGATTCAAGGTCAACTTCGGAAAGGACCGATGCGGTAACCCTCCCCGCCAGATGAACAGCCAGCAGGCTCAGGCCCAGCAAGCTGGTAGCGACGGCCTTCAGTCACCATCGCCGATCAACGGACTACACCCTAACCGTGCTGGTGCCTCAGTCTCGCCGACTGGCTCTGGCGCCCCAGGCTCTGGCCAAAGCACCAACGGACAGTTTCCCTCTGTTCAAGCACCTGCTTCAGGTAACATCATGAACTCTGGCAACAACAATCCCCTCATGATGTACCTGCAAGCTCAGCAACAGCAGCAGCAGCAACAACAGGTTGAGGCTAGCATGCAACAACAACAGCAGCAGAATCAGCAGCAACAGCAGCAGCAATCGTTCCAGTCGCCGCAAGCTGCATTCTACGGCGCTGACTTGAACACCCCTCAGCCACACCACTCTCACAGCTCCCATCAGAGCACCTCGAGCTTCAGCCTGATTAACGGTACCTCAGCTGGTGGCTCTGGTACTACTACTGTTGGTGGTCTCCTTGCGCCCTCGAACCTCAACTCTCGTGGTCAACACTCCCGTGCCGTCAGCCTTCCTGCTTTCACTCAAGGTCCCTTCAACCACTCTATGCAGCAAACTCAAGCACCCCAGCAGGGTTCCTTTGGCAGCCTGAGCTCCGGCATCGGTGGCTTTGGCAGTGGTAACGGTGGTTACGGTCTTGCCATCCAGGGTGACGGTGGTCTTCCTGGCTGGGCCGAAGAGGAGGTCGGTGCGCAGTAAGCGTATCGTAGATGTTGTGTATCTTCTTCATTGTCCGATACTTTCCACTCATCTACTGGTTGGTTGTTACTACTACCTTCATCTTCGAACAAATTTTCTTTTGCATATGTCCGGTCTGGGGTTTATGGCGCGCAGCTGATCCAGCTTTAGGGATCGATTCTCAACTATGTGTTGTAATCTGAATGTGCGCGAAACGTTGCCTTAATACTTGACCTTACCACCTTCGCTTTCTTCTCTTTCTTCATTCGCTTTTTCTTTTTACGTTGTTGTAGTTTAGATACCTGTAGGGATACCTAGGGAATTGGTAGGAGGGAATGAGACTAGACGGTCTTACGAGTGTCTGGGTAGGGTAGGCCTGGCATAGTCTGTCGAACTGTAAAGCTATCCATTGTCCACGTCTACTTGCATGTGTCACGATTTGATTTCACGTTGCGACTGACCCTCAGTCTGTATCTTAATGCATTGGGTATCTGGTAATAAATGAGATAAAAACGAGATTGCGTCGACATGCTCAACCGCGCATGCGTAGAGCTTCACACCAAATGCGCACTATTGCCTCCTGCTCCCGACCCTTATTGTTTGTTGTAACTGGAGCCATCACGAGTTCCCTAACCTCTGACCGGCCCAGATCGCGCCCATCTTTGATCGTACTCCAGCAGTCACGTACTAGAGTCTGCGCATATTCGATATCGACTTCTTCTTCATCCACATCCATTGCTGTACCGTTTCCCATTGTGTCGTAACCTGAGTTCATGCTGTTGTCTGCATCCTCAGCGCCCGTTGGTGTGCTGATGCAGACCACGATACCCGGCGAAGACACAGCGCCTGATTGCGGTCCTTCGCGTGTTGCTCGTAGTTCCCCAATCTGTATCGTACATAAACCTGCAATATAAGACGTCCCTTCGCGCACAGCGAGTATATGTCTCGGCGTCCACAGAGCGGAGCATTGGTACCGCAGTATCGAAGCATGCGCATCTTGTTGTCGCAGCGGTATCGACGTGATCGTTTCTTGTTGCGCTAGCGGTTGCGCGAAGACATATGTGCGGTTAGGCGAAAGGCTCGAGAGATGGAGGAGGTGCTGGTATGAATGTGTATATGGCTTGGGTTTACCGTCTGCGCCCGTAGGCGACTGGTAGCCTGGAGGTATGGTATCGCGAAATGCACGGTAGGAGAGCGACCATGGTGTTTGCTGACGCGTGGCGTTTTGGAAGCTGGTCTCGATGCCTTGAATGAGGGTGTTCACGGTGGAAAGGGAGGCGTCGATGTTCGTAGACGGATTAGAAACGAAGTACAGCCTGCCATGTTAGCTCCAGCATGTGCGAAGAATTATGGTGAGTGAAAAGGTTACCCGCTATATTTCATATTGTCTATTCGGTGGAGGTAGGCTGTCACAGCTGGCTGGAGTAGGAGAGCTAAGCTAGCTGACCGGGATGTTGATCACCCGGGGATGTTGATCACTCACAAATCTCAGCACTCCCACACAAAACACGTGTTATCTCTCCACGTACTCAACCAAAATGGGCGACCGTGAAGCAGC